AGACACTCTATGGACGTCAACATTGGCCTTTCATCAAATTTACAAATCAAGTAATTATGCTACAAAATCAACTTTCTTAGGTTAAAGATCATGAACGTGATTCACCATTTCATGCATCATGCCTCCATAATTTCACCACCCAAAAGAGCTCTTAGTGGTGGTGAGTAGCCCAAGACTTAAATACTATTTTTCGGCTCTATATCTAGCCGATGTGGGACTTTTTGTCCGTGACATTATCCTCCAACCAATCACGCGACGCCCTCGTCACAGATCAACTCCACTAGACCATGGAGAGTCCACACACTTGACAGACAGTAATTTGTTATAATACCACTTGTCACCTCCCAAAAGAGGTCTTAGGGGTGGTGGGTAGCCCAAGACTTAAATACTGCTTTTCGGCCTTACACCTAGCCGATGTGGAACTTTTTGTCCAACTTTTTGTCCGTGGGAACTTTTTGTCCGTGACAATAAGCTCTAAACTCAAACTAAGGATTTTCAAAGTGTTTTGAATTTTTTAAAGAATTTTGCAATGGATTTAATGGTAATAATTAAAGGTGATGTACAATATTTACTTTGATATCATTCATGACACCAGCAAGACTCAAGATCAAATAAAATCATAAATTTATTTCTAAGATGCTTTATAACACCTTAACATGGTTTGTTTTAACTTTTAAGAAAATTAGGTGATTTTAAAAATTATAGCAATAGGCTTCTAAAAATGCATAAGTGGATTAAATAGCGTCCAAGGCCAAACTCTCACCCAAAGTTAATAAAAATTTAATAAATCCTAGGAATTAAATTCATAATTTTTCAAGGTTAAACTAGGAGTTAGAAATTTCATAAAATTTTATAAATTCATAATTAAATATTATTACTTTGAAAATTATATTTCATAATTTCCTTAGACAAATTGAAGTTAAATAAAATTTAAAACTTAATTTTATAATTTTATGACTGAAAAATTAATTAGATATAAATCTCTTAATCCACTAAAGTTATCACAACTAAAGTTATAAAAAACTACCCTAATTTGTGGTTTATTAAGCATTATTGTTAGGCCTTGTAGTTTTCCATAGGCAGAGGTGGAACTCATAGGGCACATGGCTTCAAAATGGATCAATGAACACCATGTAATTCGAAGTCATGCGATCTAAATTAATGACAGTATAAACTTTTGACTTATCTCTATGTTTAACCGAAACCTAACCATAGGATTTTGTTTAATTCTAAAAGATGGTGGTAATATCATATTTTACCTTAGATGTATGGTTAGCACCGTCCTGAAACTTGCTATTTACAAATCAACCGCCCTCGTTCATCCGTTTTTTTTCAAATTTGCACTCAAAATAAATGATACAACTCCAACCCATATTGTTTATTGTTATCAAAATGCTCGATAGTTTGATCATAACACACGTAAATGTATCGGCTTGGCAGTTCAAAAAGAATACCTAGGTGGTTAATTTATAAATAGCATTATTTCAAATGATCTCTATATAATTATTATTATTATTTTTTTTTGAAAGAGGTATATTTCTTCCAACCATACACTTGATAATTAAGTTTGAACCCATCTTGATATATGTATTCCAATCATCTTCTCGTTTGATATTCACTTTTGTCTTCCATCTCAAGAATGCAATTGTCGGGAGTCATCTCCTATAAATAAAATCAGGAAAGACATGCTTTGTGATGATGTTGGTAAGCTAAACTACAAAAATAGTGGCCGTCTTTCAACTTTCCTTTTGAATATTTTTTTAGTGATTAATTTATTTCTTCTTTGTTGATGGCTTGCGAATGCAACATAATAAAAAGTAGAGGGATTTACATTTTATAACAATAAAAAATGAAACATTTGCATATTTAACACCAAAATTTCACTATTTGCTCGCATAACATCCAAAATTCAAATAACATCAAAAGCAAGACCCTCTTAACTCTTTATGTTATTATTTGATCTCTACCTGCGCTAGCCGATGTCGTTGGCTGCCTGCGCTAGCCGATGTCGTTGGCTGTTGTTGATGCAGATATGTCACCAACAAATTTCATCAATTGACACGAATATCAAAGCATGTTGGAGGTCAAATAGATTCCAAATTTGACAAACTTAAAGACAAACTGAGTGTCTCGGTGAGAAGAATTCAATAACTCCAATGTCACTCAATTCCAACATTGTTATGGCGCTCAAATTTTCATAGATCGTTGTCCAATTAAGAGAATTTATTTGGGTTGTTCGATGGAGTAGTTCAAATTCCTTCCTTATTGGATGAGAGAAGTTTTCTAGACTCTATAAATAGAGCTCTATCCCCTCAAGAGAGAGGGATGAAGAGTTGCACATGGAGTTAGAATTGGATTGAGAGTAGTCATTTTCAGTGTGATTTTGGACATAAGACAAGATGAACACTTTCCACTCTCGCAACCACCGACTACCTTCGACCATTGCTCATTGATTGTCATTAACCACTGTCGACCACCCCGTTTTAATTGCAACAAAGCCCTTGAGGAGTCATGCGTACGCTACAGAGTAACGGAGCTCCATACAGAGCATTGCATCATGTTGAACATAATGTAACAACACGCTTTGAATAAGGTGCAATGATGAACCACAAAGATAGTGCAATGAGACATTCCAATGACAATGTACTAATACACCCAATATTTGTAATTACAAACACCAAATACGGTGCAACGAAACACACTACATATGGTGCAACGACATACTTCAAAGACGACAATAAAACACCCTGAAGATGATATAGCAACGCATTTGAATACAATGTAAGGAACCCCCCCCC